CAAGGGTTCTGGCCAGGATAGTTCTGAGGGTAACTAATACACAAGTGATTATAGATCAGGACACCCAGGGAGAGTGTGCAGAGAAGACAGCAGAGGTCCAGCCACCGAAGCACAGAAAACATGGCCATTGAGGGAGGAGCAAGAGAAGAACAATGACACAAAGAAGACTCCGAGAAGGTGGACAGGATTTGAATGAGAGCTGGAGGGAAACGGCTACCTAGAGTCCAAGAAAAGGCATATTTTCAAGAAGAGGGTGGATGCTGTGTCAAGTGCCACAGGAGGTATTGGTAGAGAAAAGCCCATCGGATGTGGTGATGTGGAAGTCACTTGCACTCCTAGCTGTGCCAATTTCAACGTGGTGGGAGAGTCACAAGCCAGCTGGCTGGGCGTGGAGGGGTGAACTGCAGTGGAGAAAGTACAGACCGTGAGTGTGGGAGAAGCTTTCCAGAAGGCTGTCCTGTGAAGGGAGGGAGAGACGGGACAGGAGCTGAACAGGACTGTAGGGAACGGTTTTAGGGCTTTGCCTGTGTTAAGATGGGAGCAATTTGAGCCTGTGTGTACGTGGAAGAGAACTCTCCCAGAGGGACAGGTGGGTCCCATCACTACAGCACATAAGGAGCACCCGCTCTTCCAGGGGCGGGGGCCCCAGCCACGAGCAAAGGAAAGTCCCTGACTTCCAGGAGCTTAACCTCTAGAATGACAAATCCACGTGTAAAATGAGGGTGTGAGGAGCACTGAGAAGAAACTGGGGTGGTGGCCTGGGGGACAGCGAGAGCCTCCCTGTTGAGGTGACCTCTGACCAGAAGCCTGAGGGAAGAGGGGAGAGGAACAGAGACCTGGGGGAGTCATTCCAGGTAGAAGGAAGTTGAGGGCCACAAGCAGGAATGCACTTGGCATGTTGGCAGAATTGCAAGAAGGTGGGAGTGGCTGGGGGAGTGAGCCATGCCAACCCTGGAGATTGCAGGGGAGCCAAGCGCTCAACAGGGGCCAAGTCGCCTAGAACCTTGCAGGCCACTGTGAAGACCTGGTTTTGTACTTTAAACACACAGACACACCTTTGGTTGCTCATATAGGAGTAAGATTATTTACTGGGAGGCCGGTGGACAGGAAAATTTGGAAGAGGAGACAAGTCTTCAGACAGGAGAAAAGAAGTGGGGAAAGAAGTGGTGCTGAATGGGGTTCTCCTAGATTCCTAGATGGTAGAGAGGATCTGAGAGTTGTTGCCTAATGGCCTTGGTTTTGTTTTGTTTTGTTTTATTTTGTTTTGTTTTGTTTTGTTTTTTGTAATCTATGAAGCAAGGTAATGAGGAGATAGGGACAGTGAGGGAAAAGTGCCAGGTAGAGAGCCTGAGGAGAGAGAGGGTTTGGAAGAGTGGCCCAGGACTGGGAGAACAGGCCCGTGGGGCCACGACAAGAGACCAGCCTGTGGAAACCGTGACTGCAGGAGCCCTAATCTGATGGCTGTGAGAGCCCTCTGCACTGCGCAGAAGCCTGGTTTGTGCCAGAGGCGGACCAGAAGGACAGAATGAGAGAGCAAGGGGGCAAGTGACAGTGCCTGGACCAGGGACAACAGAGGTCTGACTGACAGGGACAGAGATGACATAGAAGGGACTCACAGACATGGTGAACTCAATGAGGTCTCAGTGGCGTAGAAATCCAAGGGCAGTGGAAGGAAGAAAGTGAACGACGTGAAGGACAGGAGATGACGGTCAGACGGTGGAACTGTGGGATTTTAGGTTCCAGAAGTAGATTGGTTTGAGTTGCAATAAGGCTCCGAGTGTAGCTCAGAAAGGAGAGGAGCTGAGGTTACTTGAGTTGACACAGAGATGGAGGCCAGTGCAGGACTTGTGGAGATAAGAACGATCACCACAGCAAGGCTGGATGATGAGAGTGGATGTGGACAGAAGGCCTGGGAGCTGTATTTCAAGGAACTTGAAAACCATGGGGCCAGGAGGACAAAGATAACAATAACAAAAAAAGAGGAGGGGGCGGTGAGCAGGACCACAGGGGTCTCCAAGGGTATCTTCTCCAGCCAATCCACAGAAGGGAGAGCAACTGGACTTCTCCCGAGCCCTCGTGGCCTGGCCTGTTGTCTGCCTGGAATCCCCTCCCTCTAGCCTATTGAAATCCTACCTGCCTTCAAGCAACCCAAGGGCACATCCATGAAACATTCCTTCCTTACTACTGAAGGTATAATTTCACTTTCCTATAATTTGACTGCCACACAGCTTTGTTTATAACGCTCTCCTGACATTGATTTGTGTGCTGCTTGGAGCTGTAGATCCCTGTGTAGGTATGTCTCCCGCTCCTGACCCGATCCCAGGGGTTCTCACTTGCTCCCCTGGGCCTCCCACAAACTCCTCATGGAGTTTTGGTGGAGAAGGCCATCCATGAATATCTGTAGCGTGAACACTACAAACCCTTCCCCTTTGTCAAGGATAGGCATTATGCCCGAACACCCTCCCTCCACCACACCCAGGGAATTCTCAGAAATGGCACCTCCTAACCTACAGTGACTTAGGCATTCTGTCTAAATGCCCAATGGGTACGAATCATCTAGTCTACTCTCCATTTGTGCATATGTACTTAAATCTTGTTTTCATCTTTATCTTATATTTTACTTTGGGGGATGAATTTAGGTGAAGAAAGAAAGGAATTTGTCCTTACAACACTGCCAAACCCTGAATCCTACCCCTTTGCAAGTCACAACTCTGTAAAACATTAGAAGAACTTTTATGTTCGTCAACACATTCAATTTCCCCACTTCATCTGCAGAAAGGCCATCAATGGCAGCTTCCAATCAGTTCACTATATTTTCCTTGGGTGAAAATTCCTTGTTTCTAAGAGTCTTAAAGTTTCTCTTAGAAACCAGGATCCCTTTGAGACAAGAAGAGGTTGATCCTTTTCACTGACCAAGAGCATCATCTCCCAGGGCAGCGTCGGGGAGATGACAGTAAACAGAGGAGGGCCACTCTGACCTCCGTGTTCTCTTCTTTCCCAGTGAAGATGCTCTGTTTTCAATCAAAAACAAGATCGTTCTGGATGTCATCCCTCCACACCCATCTGGGGCTCCTCAAAGCAAGCTTCCTCATTTCTGAATCAGATGTCATCACCCACTGAAAAGCCGCCTGCATCCACGCAGAAGAGACTGGCCCGTCTCCAGCAGCGAAGCTGCCTCCATGCTCACAGGCACTTGTCTTTCGGACAGGAGAGGATGGAGAAGAAACAGGCGGCAACAGAGAACCTTTTCATCACACCTTCTCTGACCCTTGGAGACAGTTAAAATAAATACTAATGGGCGTGAACACTTCACTCCCCACAGAGGCACAGGGAGCACTGCCATTTCCGTGGGACGCCTGGAAGAGGCAGAAGGAAACTGATCCTAGTGATGTGTCCAGGCTAAAACCTGGGGCATGCTGTCTGAAGACCCAGACACAAGTCACAGCAAGCGAGAAGCAGAGCACTAAGATGCTGAGCAAGTCCTGCCAAGTTCCCTCCGAGATGTGGCCACTCTCTCAGCAGCCCCTGCCAACGAGCCTCCTTCCAGAAATGACATCCACAAATGCTCAGGTGGCGGAAGGCCCAGAGGTGCAGAAACCTGCACCTGCCTACAGGAGAGAACTCTGTGGTTATAAATAAATAACCCACCACTTCACTGGGGGGAGGGCCTCCAACACTCACTCTCATGAACTAAGTTCCATTCATGAAAATTTGTGTCAAGCTAAGCATGTCAAAACAGACTTCCACTGCATCAAGCATCCCCACAGAGGGAAGGGGAGTCATGAGAAACCCCTCTACTGGTGACCAAATGTTTGTCTTCACAACCTGAAATGATGCTCTAACACAAGGCTGGTTGGATGTGGTAACATCCACAGACGTTTTCAATAACCATGCTGTGCCATGAAAAGCTTTCATACTGCAAGCAGAAAGAAGACCTTCGTAAATTTATGTTCAACTTTTAAAAACGCATAACAATATTTGTATGACAGGGCTGTGTGGGTGCATTACAGAACAGAAATATGTATTTCTTCTTCCACTTAAAGGAGTGAGGAGAGACTGACATTTATTGAACATTACAACGTGCTAAGTGCTTTGCACACCTTTATCCTCCCATTTCGTCCTCACCACAAGCCCAGGAGGTATAAACTATCACTGTCAAACATTTTATAAGTGAGGAAATGAGGCTCCAAGCAGTTAAACCACTTGCCTGAGGTCACACAGGCAGCAAATGACAAAGTCAACCTGACTCCAACACCCATGTTCTTCCTGCTACATGTCTCTACCTCCTCAAGTTCCAACAAATATTTTTGTTGCCTTTTTCTGTACACATCTGCAGCTTTTCCTACTAGAATAATTTTTTTTTTAGTTCATGGGAAAATGCTGCTGGAAGAGCTAAGGAGGAAGAGAAAGTGTTTTTTTGATAGGTACAGATATGACAGAGGTATGACACATATTTAGGCATTTCCAAAAGACATAGTACAAGAGTACAGTCTCATGGCTAATTAGTGTCTCATGCATATAGGATGGGGTGTCCTTCCATATTACTTAGGAGATACTTAAGTTGTCTTTCAAGCACAAGCTACAAATGACCAGTGTCCCACCATTTCTGCCGACTGTTCCCTCCACCACCCTCAGACGACCGTCTCGATGGCGGTGGGATTACCGTTGTCTTTCTGGCGCCTGGGTTGCATTTCATCTTTGAAAGCCCTGGTGAGAACCACCTTCAAGGACTCCTTGAACCGCTTCTTCCGACTGCTGCCCACAAAGAAGTAAATAAAAGGGTTGGCGCTGCTATTGATTGTGGAGAAGAGGGGGGAAATGTATTGCAGGCTCCCAAACGTTGACCAATTATCATAGCACAGCAGGTAGAGGAGTCTCATGGGCATGACGAAAATGAGGAAAATGATGATGGTGATTGTGATGACTATGTACAGCTTTGAGGAATGGGACGTCAAGGTGTTCTTTCGGATCTTAACCACCAGGATGGTGCTGGACACCACCATGAGTGGAGTGAAGACCAGGAAGTTCAGAATGGCTATGAAGATGATCACTGCCTTGCAGTCCCTTCGAGAGTGACTCTGCTCTTCTCTGTAAATGCACATGACATATTCCATGGTGGTCACTAAGCAAGAGAACGCCCACAGGAGGGCGCACACGAATGCTGACTGGTGCTTGGGGCGGTGACATCGGTACCAGATGGGGTACAGCACGGACAGGCACCTCTCCACACTGATGGCTGTCAGCAGATAGAGGCCTGTATTGTAGCCAAACAGAAACGTCACCCATAATGTGACAGTTGTGTAGTAAGAGGCATAAGAGAGCTCATAATCTGAAGCATCATCCACAGTCAGAATAAAAATACAAAAGAGCAACGAGATGTCTGCAATAGACAAGTGGGTGATGTAGACTGTGAAGGGGTTTCTTCTCACCCGGAAGCAGAGGAACCAGAGAAGAATCCCGTTTTCAATAAAGCCCAGCAGGGAGATGCTCAGAATGACCCAATACACGACTGGAATATTCTGATGCAGGTGCGCAGAGGAGGTGTTCCTGCTGGCCGAGGCGTTCGTGGATTCCTCGACAACAAATGCGGTCATGTTTGACTCATCCATGAGGAGGCCTCAGGCTGGGTCTCTTCAGGTAATTTTCTGTAAATAAGTAAAAAAATACATGGAAATTGATGAACTGGAGTAAAAGGCAGAATGTCAGCTATGGATCATAGCCTTCATGTTATAATCACACAAAGGTTATGATCATGCAAAAGGTTACACACATGTAACCTGTATACAAAGAATGTTTGATAGACTGTACAATTCTTTTTTTTTTTTAATTGGGGAATTGGGGGAGGGGAACAGTGTTGGGGAATTGGGGAAGGGGACCAGCCAAGTTGTTGTTCTTCAATCTTAGTTGTGGAGGGCACCAGTCGCCATCTGGCTGCCCGTTGGCAGCTCGTGGCCTCTAAGCTCAAGGTGCTGTGTTCAGTCTTAGTTGTGGGTGGGTGTACCCACCATCCCATGTGGGAGTCGAACCGGCAGCCTTGTTGTTAAGAGTGCACGCTCTTCCCACTGAGCCATCCGTGCGCAGCTCAGCTCAAGGTGCCGAGTTCAGTCTTAGTTGCAGGCAGGCGTAGCCCACCATCGAACAGGCAGTCTTGTTGTTAGGAGCATGTGCTCTCACCAGCTGAGCCATTCTGCTACCTGTTGGCAGCTCAGCTCGGGTGCAACATCACTGGCCCATGTGGAAATCGAACCAGCGGCCCTGTTGCTCAGAGGTCGCGCTCTTAAGCTAACTCTTAACCAACTGAGCCACTCGGCCAGTACAATTCTCTTTTTAATGATGATAAAATTGGACATTTCATCGAGAGAGAACTGATTTGATAACATTTTTGATCCCCCCAAAGCCCTTAATTCTGTATTATTATTTGTTTGTGCCTCGGTTTCAAAAGGATCCTGCAAAGCAAGAGGGTCAGGATTCCTGGTATCCACTTCTGGGCTGGGCCAAGCTTTCTGAATGGTGTTTTGAAAATCGTCTCATCTTCTGGACCTCCATCTCCTGGCCCAAGGAACTTGGCACACTGTCAGTGTTCAACCATTAAAATGCAATGACAATATACAAGTTTGGGCAACATTGTTTTCATTTTTAAAGGCATAATGTCCCATAAGTGATAGGTAAATGAGGGGGGATGGCTAGCAAAATTATGTTAAAAAATGTACCAATATATTTGAAAGGGTGAACAATCAGAAAACATTTATTTTATGTGGTCTCAGGACATGTGACAAAGCTGGCACCTCCTCAAACCAGGTGTGCTGTGCAAACCAACACTCCATGGCAGACAGCAAGCTTTCACCAGATGTAGTCGCACCCCCCATACCACAGGCCAGACCACGCAGGAGAACACTACTGACAGACATTAAACAAAACACTAACCCGAAGCCAACAGAAGTGCTGAATATTTTAGGCTGCAAAGCAAAGATTCTCAGAAACTTCCCCTCACACTTTCCGAATTGCAAAATAAATATTTGCACATTCCCCACCCTCTTCCTCTTATATAACAAATATATATAAGTCACTTACAGCACAGGAGAAAGAATTTGGGAGGCGGCCAGTGGCGGTCATCTTCCTTGTTCTAACTCTAATTGTCCTTGGCTTTTTATTTTAAGACTCTTTGGAGGGGGCGGGGTGCTAAAATATTGGTTTTTGCGTTTTGAACTTTGTCCTTGCAGACCAGGACCCCTACATGTGCAAATAATTAACCTTTAGGAAGCTGATCAAAACAATATTATAAGTGAGCAGATGCCTGCCTTTTGCTAGAAGCAGGACATCAGTGTGATATTTTGTGGAGCTTGAATGTCTCTGATGATACTTGACATTTCCGGGATGGAGTCAGCAGAGCCCCAGCTCTGGCAGGGCCCTGAGTTTGGATCTCAGTACCACCGTTACCTCCCTAGTGGTGTGATTCGGAAGCCCAGAGAGGTCCCTGCCTCCACCGTCCTGACACCCCCCCTCAGTCCCCGCTAACACTTTCCTCCGCTATTCTGAGGAGATACTGGAAACTATTCTCACTGGGGCAGAGTCTTCTTTCATTTTATAATGAGACAGAAGACACAGACCCCAGCACCTCAGCAGCCCAACACGAGACTTGTGTAGAAACCAGGCTTTGTTAGAAGTGGGTAGGTACAGCAGCCCCGTTCCCCAAGTTCACCCATCACGTATTTATTCAGTGCTCATTTCCTGCCAGGCACTGTTCCTGGCACTGGGATACAGCAGTGGAGGGGGTTTGAGGAGTCTGGTAGACCTTGGGTGGTGGTCTGACTATAGGAAGTGAGCGGCTTTATGATACTTGGTGAAATGTCAGGTGTATTCTACAAGCCATGCTGATCCAACTTGAGAGCTTGAAAATGACCTGGGGTTGCTTATTAAAAATGCAAATTCCAGGGCCCCACTGTTTCAGAAAGCCTGGGCTGGGGCCCTGGAATCTGAATTTTCATAGCCCAGGGGATTCTAATGCAGGTGGGTTGTGGGCCATGGTTTGAAAAACACTGCCATTTGCACTAGGTAGCTATTAAAGGTTTTCACGCAGGGCTGCGATATGACTTGAACTATATGTCTCAGAAAGTTCGCCCTGGTTCTATTCTAAAGGCTGGATGGAAGGGTCAATGGATGGAGCAATGAAGCCAGTCAGGGGCTGTTGAAATAGTCCTGGGGAGGAATAATAACTAGGGTAATGGCTGAAGGAGAGAACGGATTCCAGAGACATTTCAGAGAACACTGGTCAGGCCTCAGTGGCCGTGAGGGGAAGGGACAAGGAGGAGTCAGAGGACTGTTGTCCACCCGAGAAGGCCGTGTCCATAAACTACTGGCTGAGACCAGGAGCAGGAGAGCAGGGGCTGGGACAGCAGGAGAACCGGGAAGTCGGCGTGGGGTGCGTTGAGAAGGAGGTCTCAGGAGGGTGTGGGGAAGGGGCAGATCCCAGGTGTGCTCATCTCTGTATGTACTGCTCTCAAGGGCCTACATTTTTTAATAAGCCAAGCTTAATAAAACAAAGAAAATAGGCACACTTATGAGATCTTTAGAACATTCCTTCTTGTAAAGTTAAAATGATATCTCCCCCACTAAATGGCAAACTCCTCAAAGACAGGACTTTTATCTCACTCATGTCTGGGTCTCCAGCACTTGGTGCAGACATTCAATACATACTTACTGAATTATTCCAAGAAATAAAGCCCATCACTACAGTCCTGAGAAGGCACTCTAGTTGCCCGTGAGAGAAAACCACTGCCTCAAAAGCCCAGGTTATCACAGCTAATTAAAGAGTTCTCTAACGGTTCTTAGAGTAGAACTCATGAATCACACATTAGGCAGATTTTGATCATAATGAGATTGAAAAGCAAATAAAAATCCCATTAAAACTAATCTCATTAAAAACTAATGATAACTCCCCAAGCTGTTTTGTTATAGTGGTGTTTCATTTAAATGAACACATTGTAAAAGTCACATTCCTCGTCTTACCAGACCAAACCGAACTTCAGCCGCTTAGGTGAAACAGAAGACAGCGCACAGCTGGTCCCACCTGCTCACCACCCCTCCAAACCCTCCTCCTCTGGGCGCCTCGGTCAGTTTGCATATTCTTCATCTTCGTGGGGTGGACGATCAGGATATTTGAGGTTGGGAAGGGTAGGAGAATAGAAGGGTAATTGCTGTTAGCTGAGAATAATTTCATTTTGGCTCGACACAGAGTGAGTTGTCAGTGACAACGAGAGGAAGAAATTGCACAGTGGAACTAACTGCTGCGGGTACCTGATCTTCCTGTCAACCCAGCTCTGTGAGCTCTCTGTCCAGACAAGCAAAGCTCCGTGTTTAAGCAAAGCAATCATGTCTGCAGAGGTTCATGTTACCTGGCAGTGACAATCCAGGGTGGAAGGGTGCTCATCCTAGCAGCCCTCTCGGCCCCTGATGTGGTCAATAACACAGCAATATGGCAGAGGAAACAGCTGGGAACAAAGAAGCAGCAGAGTAGGTGATGGCACCACTGCTGTAAGCACTGCTGGCAGCGTCACAGAAGCATCTTCCATCCTCGCTTCCTTCTCATAACACGGGCCCTGGGGAGGAAGCAATACCCTGGAGCATGAGAAGGCGGCTGTGCAGGATTTAGAATCCAAGCATCTTCCCTCCCTGTCAGCTTTGCATCCTTCAGTCATCTTGGGAGGCTGCTAAAGAAGGTGTTACTGCCCCCCACTTTATAGAGGAGAAGCTAAGGACGAATAAGCGGGCCAAGTTCAGAGCCCCTGGGCCACTCAACTCAACAGGGCCCCATCACTCATCCTTCACCGTGTCTGGTGCTGCCGGGTCCCTGCAGGGCGTCAGGGCCCAAAGACTCACAGGGATCCTGACCACAGAGCCATCCAGGCAGGAATCCAGGTCCCCACTTCTCACCGAGAGCTGAGCCGGTCTCCTACTTTGAAAAAGTCTGAAACCGCTGGTCTACTCCAACTCCCCCAGTTCCCAGACCACTGAATGGAAGCCAGACAGACTGTGAGAGAGGCCAACGTTCACAACTGCTTGGAGGAAGCAGGAACTGGGAGCTCCTTACTCTGGAGACCTTCGCACTCTGCCCTGGGGCCTAAGCCTATTTTTAAGACCTTACCTTTTATAGCCTCTCAGTTACTTGTTTTCCAATCTAGTTTGCCTCTAATGCTTCCTACTTTAGGAATTGAAGGCACGATGTTCCCTGATGTTATAGGGAATTTTTTCTTCCCCAAAGACTTGTTTCATTTCTATCTGTGACTTTGTCAACATAGGGCAGGGTCACTGTGCTCTCTGCATTTCAATCCCACTGGGAATAAAGTAGCCCCAGGTACTGACTAGCCGGCCCTGCTGTGCGGAGGGCTCGCCTCTGAGAAAATGCTCACCCAACAGGCTCCTTTCACAGTTTGTGCAATCTGAACACAAAACAGGGGTATTTTTATTGCTTTGTTTTCTAATTATAAAACAATATGTGTTCACTGAAGAAAATTTGTAAAATTCAGGGGGCAAAGAACGACGCATGAAACCACTATTCAAAATTCACCTGATTTAACATTTTGGAATGTTTCCTTTTAGTCTTTTTTTTTCTGTCTCACACACTCTTTTTTAAAATTGAGATTGCATTTTTATAAACTGCTTTGTTTCACTCTATCATATTATGAACATAATCTTTGTCAGTATATACTTTAAAAACATGACTTTAAACCACTATTTGGATGTACCATAATTTATTTTTAATCATCTTCTAATCTTAGATGTAACCGTTGATTCTGATTTTTCACGATTTTTTTTTAAAGCAAAGCACTATCATGAACATTTCTTAGATTTTGTGCACATCTTTAATTATTTCCGCAGGACAGAGTTCTAAAAATAAAATTGCTGGATCAAAGAGTATATTTTTCAAGATTTTAAAGCATGTTAACAAATTGTCGTCCCAAAAAACTATCCCAAGTATACTGACATCAACAGTATACAGATTTTTTTTCACAGCATATATGTTTTTTTTCCCCACCACTCCATTTTTTTTTTAATTTTCAAAGTTAAAGGTGACAAAAAGCTCCACATTCTAATCTGCATTTATTTGAGTGCTAATGAATTTGGATATTCTTTCATGTTAACGGTCACTTATATTTCTTCTTTGATGAATTATTTTTCATGTTTTTTGCCCATTTCTTTTATTGAGTTGCAAGAACTCTTCATAAATATAACACTTTGTTATGTTACAAATTCTGTTCCCCAGAAACTGGAGTGTTCTTCTTACAGAGGATGTGAGAGCAGGCAGCTTGGAGTCTTTCTAAAACCTCTTCCTGATGGCTAAAGCCTGCCTGGACGCTATCGGTGCTTGAGGTTTAGAGGTTGAAGGAATCACGTAGACACTGCAAACCACCCTTTATGTTACAGGTGAGGAAGTTAACTCACAACCAGCCGAGCTTTCATATTTAGTTCACAGCAAAGCCAGAAACAGAGCCTGGGTTGCTCACGTGGGCACTATTTCCACTGTCAACTGTCACTTATATGTGAAATCACCCATGCATGTGACTAGTAAAACTTTTAGAACATTTAACAATGGCTTTACTGTCACCACAAGCCATCGCCACAATCAACTTGATTGTCACTAATGATCTTTATGGAAAGCCTCAAAGGATGGCCTTTTGTTTATTAAAGGATGGGTATTGTTTATTAGAGGATGGATTTTTATTTATTAAAGAACCATCTACCCAATGCCAAACCCATAGCGACGATATAAACAAACAGAAATGAAATTGCTTTCAGTTTCTTCTGATCTTCTGTGAAATGGAGTGACCCATAGTCATCACCTCTATTGAAAAATATTAGAAGCAAGCTAGTCCACTCATTCTGTGCCTTCAGACAAGGCCTCCAACAGGGAGGAAGATGTGGTCTTCTTCTCCCCTCCCTGAGTAGGTTATGGAATCCTGCTCCCTCTCCCCGCACTGCCGTCTCTGAGATGACACCATTGCCTAGACATGCTTTCTTGCAGCTCTTGTCCTGTCTCCCTGCAGCGAATTCTTGTCTCCGTCCCTGAATCTCCGCGTACACTCAGGGCACCATTCCCGGCCATCTTCCCTTCTTACTCTATAGATGCTCCCTGGGCGGCCTCATCCAACCCCCTCATTTCAACTATCACCACATACTGATGAAATCCAAATCTATAGTTAAAACTCAGACATCTCCCCAAAATATCATACCCTGTAACCAAAAGCCCTGGATATCTCCAACTGGGCCTTCAATGGCGGCACACCAGACTCAGCTGATCCAAAACAGAAATGAGAGCTTCCCTGCTTTTCCATGCTTCCGTTGGCATTCCCACTCTTCCAAAGCCAAAAAACTGGATGTTTTACCAGGCACTGCTCATCTTGTGTGTTCACTGCATCTGTCTCTAGAATCACCATTTCTCCAAGGAGCCTGGGTTCCTTGCAATACAGAAGGGTATGCAGAAGCCAAGAGATGGGTGCTGGTGTACCCTTTGCTTCGGGGTATCACTGCTCCCAGGCCTTCCCAGTGGATGGAATGAAGGAATCATATGCATATAAATGCATACATACAGTCATACATACACACGCTGACACCTATATTTCTATATCTTTCTGTATGTACAGTTGACTCTTGCACAACCCAAGTTTGAACTGCATGGTTCCACTTGTACAGAGATTTTTTTTCCAATAAATACTGTAAATGTATTTCTCTTCCTCATGAGTTTCTTAATAACATTTTCTTATCTCAAGCTTACTTTATTGTAAGAATACAGTATATAATACATATAACACAAAAAATATGTTAATCAACTGTTTACGTTATCGGTAAGGCTTCCGGTCAACAGTAGGCTATTAGTAGTTAAGTTTTGGGGGGAGTCAAAACTTATATGTGGACTTTTGACAGTGCAGGGGCCAGTGCTCCTACCACTGGATTGTATATACTGAATGCCAATGAATTCACACCAATATCTCCAATTTTGATCCCACACCACTGAGCTCAGTTTAGTTCTTTCTCTCCAAATTTGTAACTCCCTTCTCTGATGGTGAGAAATCTGGTCCCCATTATCCTCAACTTATTTACTTATTTGATCAATCCACCTGCAGATATATAATCTCCTGTGTCCAGCACTGCCTGTCCCCTGTCCTTGCACAGATATCCTCCTCACCATATGGGGCTCTTTCACCACATGTCAGGCCACCTTTGCCACTGTTCCCTGCTGATACATTCCTCACCTAGCAGAAGCTCTGAGCCTGGCACCAGGTCCCCGCGACCCCCCATGAAGACTCTTCCACGTCACCACCACCACCACCTTCATCCCAGCTGGACTGCCCCTGTGGGGGAATTCCTCACCCACTCAGACTCCGGTACCTCACCCAAGCCATGGCGAGGCAGGCTGACTATAGTAGGGGGCATACTTAACACCCACCACCCTCCCGCAAAAAATCCAAAGAACTGTAGGCAGTATGGCATCTGAACACAGAAGAGAGGTTTGATGTAGTTCAAGTTATGCTGCAGAGGTGACTGCAATTCTGCCTGCGCCTAAGGCTGCTTTGCCTCAAAGCCACTCTTTCTTCCATCAAACTGCCCACTCGATGTAAGCAAAACAGACCTAAGCAAAGCAGCTGAGCCCCTCTGACCTCAGCTCCTTCACTTAGTTGGCAGGTTAATGCATTTCTGGAAGGCTGGGGTATAAGAAAAGCTAGTGACCGAACAGCACTTAGCCAATATGAGACTCATGGAAATGCCAAGCTGAGATCATGAATCAGCAAGCAGGGAAACAAGCACGGTGGTTTCTGTAGACGTGTAAGGATGCGGGCTTTGCAAAGCCTGTGTCCTGGTCGGGCGCCCCAGAACTGTTGCCTGCATTTACCTCTCAACGAAAGCGAGAAGATGGAAAAGTACGGAGAATCAAAGAAGGCAGAGTTGTGGGGTTTGTTCAGGTTTATTGAGGTGTAAGGCAGAGAGTTTTAAATACTACATATTTGTGCTTGCTGAAGTTTTCTCTAGGGATCTAAGAAACAAACATCCCCTTTCACAGTCCCATTTAGTTGACCACAGTCCAACCATGATTCTGGATTCCCAGTCTAGAACATCACTCTTAGAAGGAAGGAGGGAATGAAAGAAGGAAGGAAGGAAGGGAAGGGAAGGGAGGAAAGCCAACACAACTAGGGTTCCAGGTTGGGCCATCTGAAACCTTATCTTGCTCCTAGGCAACCAAAACAGAGAGGCCTGACCCTGGGCTGGACTTTCCAGGTGTGCAGCTCCAGAGAAAAGGGCAAATTCTTCTGTGTGTGTGTGTGTGAAGTGACCTGGACAAACAGAAACCCATATGTGAGATGGAATTTCCATGGTCGGCAAGGGATCTGATGGGAACGTGCAGGGCAGGGACATCTGTCCTGGTGTTAAAGGTCTCCTTCCCATCTTCCTGACACTTGAGCCACCCGTACGGAGAAGCAGGAACTTCTTGCTCCCTTTGCATGTGTACAGTAGGGCCCGCTTACAGCACTGGCCTCAGAGAGGGTCTTTGTATGGTCTTTGTCCCCAGGAGACATTTGTCATGTCTGGAGGTTTTGGTTGTCACCGCTGAGAGGATGGGGCTACTGGCATCTAGTAGGTCAAGGCCAGGGATGCTGCTAAACGCCCTGCAACGTGCAGAACAGCCCCCACAACGAAGAATTGCCTGGCCCGACGTGTCACGGT